ATCTCTACAAATACATTTTGTAGGAAACATATTTGCTGCCTGGATTATGTTCAATTGCCATGTTTTCTTCCAATCCAGGAAGTGTGGCATCCTTTGTCTGCACAGAAGTTGTAGGGAGGAGGTCATGATGAATGGCTGGGTGTAAAATCACATGATTAGACATTAAAGACTGGGGTTTGTGTACTGCATCTCCTGTGTTTTTATATTTAGGTTACTTGGTGAGGACTAGGGAAGAGCAGATTTTGAAGGGACAACACATTAAATATGTTGACAGTGAACATTCTGCAAATACCTTTTCTATGATAATTATAGATCACCATTGAATGATGTGCATAGAATATGTATTTTTTAACAATTTAGCCTCAGCATGCTAATTATTTGCGTACTAACGATATTTTTTTGTCAACCACTATAACTCCCAGGAAAGTGATACCCAAATGATCCTATACTAAACTCAGTACTGAACACCTGCATGGCACACTTACACTTACATTACAGGCATCCTCTGGCACAGTGGTTAAGATGGATATTTTAAAACGGCAATGGCCAGTTTCAACCGTGGACTTTGTTGCCTGGTGTATTTCACATAAGGCAGAAATCTGGCATTGGCCCACTGTAAACCATCCAAAATTTCCAGGCCACGCCCAAATCTGTGATGTCACTGGCTCAGCAGGTGTTTTGCCACTGGCAGTTGATGGAAAACATCTGCTGTGACATCACTGATTGGGGTGTGTTCAGAGGAGAGCAGCAGATTGCTGTTCAGCAGCTTTCTGCCATATGTGATTCAGTGTGGATTTACCCGTTTCAAACATTTGACTGGAGGTGTTTCCGTTTCCATCAAGATACACTGACTTCCTCATAAAGTGGCATATTGCAGTGCTGCCCCAGTTATACTGGGCTTGTTCCATTTCACTGTCCACTCAATAGCTCCCTGACTGTTTGATAAAAAGTGTATTTTCTGAAGCCACTGAAGCTTGGCCTGTCTCACTGCAAACCCACTCCTATGGAGGGCTAGTAAAATATACGTCCTACAGGAATACTGCACTGTAATTACATTCCCCCATTAGCATACGGAGGCTTGGAGTCACACTGCACTCAGCCTCCAGCAGCACTTTGCCATATGGTCCGTCTGTGCTTCTCAGGCGATATTTGGCAAGACTCTTGCAGAAGGTCAAATATCAAGTCAGAGGACTGTGCCAGAATTGCATCTATGCTAATTGCTCTCTCTCTCTTCCTCTGCTCTCTCATCCATCTCATGCTCCTCGCTCTCTCTCTCTTTACTCCCTCTCTTCCTCTCCCACTGAAGTAAGTAATCTGCTTTAGGATGTTTCTGAGATGGAGATGGATTTGGTTTTCCTTCGCTGCCCCTCAGCCTAATCTCCCCCCTGTGACCACCCTCCTCTCCCAGGCACAGCTCTTAAGCACACCATCATACATCCCCCCTCTGCACCCAGTTCATACATGCCTAGTCAGCAAAAAACTCCCAAATTCCTCATTACTCACAAACATCCGCAATACACTTAGCTTGATTTGCTCGAATGGATGCCTGCTGCAAGGCTGGACCTTGAATTAAAAGATTGTAGCTGTATTTCAGCACTGGAATGCTATCAGAACACTCGTATACTTGGGTTCTTTGTCTGTGTGCATTAGTGTCGCGAGCATATTCAAGTAAGCTATTTAGAGGAAAAATAGGTGAAAAAAAAGCTTATGTATTACACTTTAAAAAAGTCCTCCATGGAAAAGAATATGAGCTTAAACAATGTATTAAGACATATACAAATAGTCTGCTTGGAACAATAATGTGTGTCCTTCCAAATTAATATCTGTACGAAGGCATCTACTATATTCTACCTTATAAAAAATTCAGTTCATTTCTAAAGTTTTCCTGCTGAACACAAGATGTCTCGGACTTCACTGTAAAGTCCATTCTCAGCGGCTTCAAGTTTCCATATCACATTAAGTTGCATACTGGACCAGGATTGGCTTCCAAATATCTGGCCACAAATCATTGTCACAAATAATGCTTGTAGGCCCCGCCCCTTAAAATCTGATTTTTAATGAGCACAGAGAAACTTTCCACTTCCAGCAGATGAATGTGAGGGCATCCTGCAAACTTTGCACATACATCATTCTTCACAGTGAGGCTCAAACATCCAACTGCAGGACCAAGAAGTGAGTGGAGGGGACTTTAAAATCATCATAAATTGGATGATATTCTCACTTGTTAACTCCTTTCATCCTGCTAACTGCAGCCCAGTGACCTCATATTTCTGTAGTGATAATGAGAATAACTGCGACAGTCCAAGAGCAATGTGTTGTGTTTATATTTCTATGGTTCATCATTATTAGTATATTCTGAAAGTTTTACTCTGATTATAATTTGAGGGAACTGAAAAATTAAACCTTTAATGAATTAGGTGATGGTGTTTAATTAAAATAACTTTTGGTTGTGACGGTGAATATTTGTTTTTGTTCCATGGACATAATCCTGTGTTGGGCCAACAAACATTCCCCAAAAGGTATATTTTAGTTCCAAAAGCTGTCAAATTTAGTGGAGTGAAAAGCGAATTGTAGTTGGGTATACAGTAGCATAAAACAGAAATAACAAAGTTACCTCAACAGCTTATTTGCAACCATAGTCCCAACACAAGCACAAACTGTCAAAATGTATTAAAAAAAAAAGTTAGAATCAATCTATGGAAACGTTAATTTCCCATTTTCTACATTTAGGTTTTAGATATATTTTTTTCTTTTGCGATGTACAGTATGTGTAACTGTGCTTCATAATAGCACTATACTGTACCTTTTAAATTAAATTACCTACAAATTACCTTATTACATGGCTTGTATTAATTGGTGCGTCCAGAAATCTTTTTTGGCCATAAACAACTAAACCGCAACACAGAAATTTTAATTGCAGCAAATACTTTTATCTTATTTATTTACTTATTATCGCCACAATTAAGGTTATTGATGTTTTTTATTTGTATATGCAGGTAATATTCAAGGTTTAAGCTTTTGTGCAGAGCGCAGAGTCTATTTGCGTTATGGTGTTGTGATGCCGATCGGCAGGCAGTGGCGTGTGGATGACTAGATGAGTGGTCTGTCCGTGATAGCGGCCTTGCAGAGGTACCTTTTATAAACGGCATTGGGTGGCTAGAATATTGGCTACAAGCTTCAAGATGAGATTTCAACCCCTACCCACCAACGCCGGTAACAGTGCAGGTGATGGATTGCTATACCTTCCAGGTTTGAGCTTGGCAACGCCCCAATATTCCTGCAGAATAAAGTGACAGGCAATATATAACACATCAGTTAAGGCTGACTGCACCGCTGAAACTTTTCCCCCCCCTTTTTCTTAGACCTGGAGATCAGCCCTGAATGTTTGGCTGGCTCCCAAAGTCCTCCTTCCTTCACTCTGATGAAACATGCTATTTTCTTACTCCTCTATCCTGTCTCTTCCTAGTTTTGTCTGCCTCTCCACCAGTTTGCCTAGAAGAAAATAATCCAAGTAATTTCCCTGCATGTTGTCATTTTATATTGAAATTATCACAGACTTAACTTTTCTGACTGTCGTTCTGAGGTGTCTAGTTGATTTGGGCCTTGCAAGGTGCAAGGAGTTCATGGCAAAAAGAAAACAAATTGACCTGGGTGTGCACACAAATTTCACTTGAGCCATGATGCTGAAGTTGTATGTTTTTTTTTTCCTTTCTTTTTTAAGTCACGACCAGAGAGCTAAAGCAGTTTCAGCCGTTGTTTGTGTGTTTTTTTGTCAGGAGGAGTGGGGGGGCAGTGTTATTTATTTATATATATTTTGTTTGCAGCCTGTCAGAGCTCCATCCAAAGGATTACATTTATGAAAAGTGGCCTGGTCTGTAAGTTAATAAATTATGGGTATTGTCAGGGTAATGTATGGGCCATGTGTTATAATGAGCATTCTGAAACACATCAGCTCACTCCCACAGGCTGCTGTTCAACCTGCCCAGTGCCACTGTCTCTCCTCGAGATTCCTCCCTTCCTTCTCCCTTTCTGCCTCCCCCTATATCTGTCTCTGCCCTGCTTCTATCTGTTCTATCTCTACTCTGATTCTTCTGCCACTACTACATTTCTTCCAGGATACTTTCTCATCTCTAACACATTTTTTTTATCTCAGAGTATGAGTAGATTCTTGAGAATTCCTAGACAGCGAAAGAGGAAGGGGGGGGTGGGGAGGGGTGGGGAGAGGAAGGGGGGGGGTGGGGAGGGGTGGGGGTGATGCCGAGTTTGTGTTGGCTGAAAAAAAATTCCACCCGTAATTATGGTGAATTAAAAGTTTTATGATGTTGTGCATGGCTGTGTGTGTGCCTTGAGTGTGTGTGTTGGTGGGAGGGAGGGGATGGGGCTCTGTGACAAGGCTGGCTGGGAGCATAGAGCTGAGGGTTAGTGCCAGACATGTCTCAAGAGAAACCGGGGCACATTTGCAATCACCCCGAGTTCAAAAGGGTAATTTATTCACAGTCTGTGGTTAAAGTAGGGCTGCTCAGAATGCCAGTGGGATTGTGCTGGGAAGCAGAGTAGTAGAGACACATTATTTTCATTTTTCTCTCCCCTTCTATTTTTTTCTCTCTCCCTCTCTCTCTCTCCTCTCTTGCTTTTTCCCTCATCGTCCTCTTCATCGCCTGTTGTTGTTTCTGCGAGCCCTGTGAGGCGTCTTTTAACACACGCCGGCGAGCATATTTCACTTTTACACTCATCCGCATTGACGTCCCGGTGCTGATTGAATTTTGAGGCGCTGCGGCGTCTGCCATTATCATCCTCATCGTCTTGAGTGGTTTATCTCTGGCCCCAGCTCAGTGTGACGCCAAGGCTGCAGGGGAGAGGAGGGGCAGGGCAGGGGTGGGCCGGGGGTTGAGGACTGTTCATGTGTTTTTATTATTTGTGTGGAAAAGATAGGGAGCATTGGCCTTAACCTAGATGTTTAAGATTGTGGAGGTTTATGTTGCATGCATATGCCCCGGCAGAGGTTGGAGCAGCCTTTACAGAAGCTGCTTCAGTCCGGTGTGTTTGATTATGATTCAACGTCCCTATCTAGCCAGGGCTGTCTTTCTACCACCTCGTCTCAATCAGCCAACGACGTGGCTTCAGCATTAACTGCACCTGCCAGGTTCAGTTAGGATCACAGGGTGTCATGGCTGCCCAGAGACCTCACACTGCCTCGCCAGAATCCGCAGAGAATTATTCCACCACATGTCAGTTTTACTGTGTCGTTATCACCGAAAGCCACCGGCAGACACTTAGAATACACTGCCTACTGTGGTGGCGTGGTGGGGTTAATTTGAGGTCTGGAGAAATCTCTTCCTCCTCCTTCAGTCAGTTCAATACTCGGCCGTGTGCATTCATTGCCAGAGCGGGAAATTGTCTTTTCCTCTGTGTGTCGTTGTAGCCAGGTTGTTATGTATGCTCTGCTGCAGAGGCAGCGGTGTTGACGTGAGGCTGAGCTGCTGCCACGGCGTCTTGATTTGAGGTGAAACCTCAGTGTTGCTCCTGTGTCCCTGGTGTAACACTATCAACCCTTACCTTCTCCCCACCTTCTCTCATCTGTTTCACCTTCTCCCTTTATCCCTTGCTCTCCTGTATTCTTGTGTCTTTTCTCCCTCATTCTCCCTGGCGGTTGATGGAGTGATTTTGAAGGCGCATGCAGGTGGGGGAGCAGACAACGCAAGGCTGTGCTAATTGAGCCTTCTTTGTGCCTGGTCACTGCAGTGTGCCGAGGCAAGGAGGCCCGGGAGTGAATCCAAGCAGCACTCAAGAGCCCCACTGGATCGATAACGCGGGAACTTAACAAAACAGAGACATGCCGAGTGCCCAGATCAGGGTCATTATTGTCTCTGGCGAGCCGCACTTCCACCAGGGACTGATCAATGTGAGAATATGGATCAAGATAAACATTCTCACCTCCCCTTTCTATCCTCTTTGCCTCAGCTCTTAGAGCATCACGTTCTAGACCGAGAGAGCAGAGCTTAAGCCTGAAAGTGCCCCTGTTGATGCGCCATATCCAATGTGGATGCAAGTTAAATGCTTGTTACACTCTTTACCCATGTCATAGTAGGAAGACCTGTCATAGTGCTTTGAAAGACATGTTACTATGTTTCATAGGAAGTTCTTGAAGATCACTGTTTTCTTTTTTAAGAAATGTGTTTGTTGAGATTCCCTAACTTGGCTTTATATGTAAACTTGGAAATGTGCTAAATTGCACGTTGTCTTACAGGCTTTGTGTCTTTAGCTAAATTTCTGTTGCCACAAATGTCTGATAGCATCAGCATCTAACCCCTTACTATTTTACAGCATCAGAGTACACCCAGATGCCAGTGTATTAAGTATACCTAGTGGAAACTAACACAGTCTAATAGAATAGTCCTGCAACAAGGTTTATATTGTTCAGTTTTTGTTAAAACTGTTAAAAGGTGTTGATTCAACTGGCTGCAGTTTGTTGTGCTGTTGAATTGTATTGTGTTATACTGACAGGTGTTTCTATTATTTTGTCCATCCATAGCAATGAGGGTATAAAGAACTGTTGTGTTAGTGTACATTAGTGTACTGGCAACTGTGTGAGTGTGATTTCGTTAACATTACAGGCTTCATTTGATTTTTGATTTTTTTCTCTCCAAAAGAAAAATACGAAAGAAAACAACCATGAACTGTAAAGCGGTGAGTTTGCCAAAGAAAGACATACCTACATCATCCATGTAGCTCAGGGAAATGTTTTTATTCTGGAGACTTGGCAGTTAACAGTAGTTGAAGAAACTTAATCATTTTTTCTATACTATATAGATGTTGTTGTGATGATATATAGTGTATATGAAACCTGTGGTAACTTTACATAGGATCACAACAAACATATTTAAATGTATCAGGAAAACAAATTTTCCTTTATGTTCTCTGGTGGTTCAGGTGAAATCTGGCTTTGCGCCTTTGTTTCATGCCACTCACACATCCTTTCTGTTTTTCCTCTACAATCAAGTATCTTAAAAAACAGAAATGACTTTAATAATGGCTTTCATTATATATTTATTAAAGCCTAATGATTGCTTCCAAAAATGATAAAACACAATTAATGGAGCTATGGTGACATAACAAGGGGGCAGGCGTCAGCTCATTGCAATTAAGCAAAAAAGAAAACATCTGCGAGAGCGTCTTGGCCCTTCAAAACATGATGGTGTTTCATTTCATCCATGACTTTAAATTGGTGATGATGGTATCCTGCTGGTCTGGGTTCCTCCATTATTCACTTGGATGGATAATAGTAATTGCTTAATGCGGTGTGAAAAAATGGTAAATGGTTGCTACACATATAGGAAGGAATGTATGTGTCCAAAACTAGTGTGATGATGGGCCAGCACCTGTCTGCATGCAGCTGACGGACTTAGCTTAGGTTCCCTCCCTTCAGAGATTAGGAAGAATGTCCCAAACATTTTATCAGGAAGGAATAATCTATTGTTTTATGACTGTACACTTATTAACCTTACTGTGACTGGGTGCTGAAGGATGATTTGTAGTAGTTTAATAAACAAAGGTGCTGATAGCCTTATCAGATGAAGAGTTTGCTGACCTTTTTTTCTGTTTTCTTTTTTTTAAATTAATTTAATATTTCTTCGAATGGATAGCATTGGGGTTGTTTGTTAAGTCGACACATACTAAGTTGAGTAAAGTAGTTGTTGAAGTGTTCTTCATAAAATAAACAAAGTCTGTTCTGTGAAGCCTGATGTCACCAATAATGCCTAAGTAAGGGCCTTCCATCATTGGCTGCTGCTTCTGATGGCATCATTGGCCAAAGTCAAACTTGTTAGTTCATTCTCCACAGACTCTTCACATATCTCCTCTCTTTGAGATCCACAATGGTCTGTTAACAAAGGAAATCTGAGCTGTAACTGGTGCAGAGTGATATTGCTTGAATTAATAAGAATATTTTTGAATGATATCAATATATCACCATTACAATATGACAAATATGTGTAAAAATATATGTAAAATAATGAAACTGATGCTCATTTAAATCTATGATGTTCAGCTGTTATCTAGGGCTGCAACTTAACAGTTATTTCTATTATGGACTATGGACTTGTTTGCTCTAGGTGCTTGTTGGAAGTGCCAGAAAATAGTGAAAAATGCCCATCAAAAGTTTGCAGAGCCCAAGGTGATGTCCACAGAAATGCTTCTTTGGCTTTAGAAGGTTTTTCTGCCCAAAAATATTCACTTTACTGTATAAGGCCACAAAAAATGGAAATATTTACATTTCAGAGACTGTGACCAACACATTTGTGCCTTTTTTTTTTTTTATTTGCTTGAAAAATGAGCAATTAAACAATCATCAAGAATTTGGCTGATGATTTCTTTGTCAATCAACTAATGGATTCATCAACTAGTTACTTTAATGTTATGCATGAGACAGAACTCTTCACATACGCAAAACAAAAAAAAACGTAATGACTCATTCTGCTTATTTTTGAAGTACAAATGCTTGGAATCAACAGAATTTTGTAAAACAGTAACATGATATGATCCACAAATCAACCAAAAGTCGATATAAGTTAGTATTAAATTATTGTCAGCCTTACTGTACACTGTAAATAATGTTTACATGTGGTCCATAAACTGTACAAGCCTGAGTGCAGGAGCCTGTCTGGTGCTAAAGCACTCATCAGGCCTTTAAGGAGCCGCAGATGACACTTGGTATTAAAATGTCAAATTGGCCTCCACTCAGACTAAAGTGATTTTAGTTGTGATTATGCACTATTTCCCCCCTGTCAACAGCTGAAAAAAATAATCAAAAAATGTGCTAATTGGTCATGGGGATTGGTGGGAGACTTCAGTATTTTATGTCTTTGACTTCCAAATGAGTTTCGGAAAGGAGAGGCTGTCACTCTGGCATAGAGGTTTTGGGGAGAAGGAGGAGGGGCGGCTGCTGGCGCGGGCTCAAATTGAAATGATGCACTGTTCCCCCTCACTGCGGCTAGAGCTCACAGTAATTAAATGCCTCATTGTTGCTTCTTGGGAATTTGTATTGAATATTTCATCCAGCGTAATGATTATTTGGGTGTGGGTGGGACGTGGATGTAATCACCTTGGCTGGCTCTTTGATGAAATACTTGGTTTGGTGGTTGTGCTTTATAGCCACTTTAAGTGCCCTTCTGGGTTTCTACTTAACTTAATGTCCATGCTATTTCAAACTTCTGTTATGCAGTACTAGTCCTAATATTATTGATTACTGGCTTCCAAATGTGTCTGTAATTTATGAAAGTATATATGGTTTTCTGTAATTTGCTGAAGAGAATACTTGATGTGACAACAGTATGACCTCGAAACCTGCAAATTAAAATGTGTCCTTCATATTTTGTCTCCCACAGAGGACGCCGGTCAACAACGGCGAAGCTTTTCGGTGGTTCTTTTAGAGAGGCGAGACATGGTCGCCCCATCCAGCAGCAAGAGGACAGGTGGGACTCTTGACTCTCTGCAAGGAGCACTTGATGGGTTCACAGAACCCAACGCGGCCAACACATTTGTGGAGGACAAGAGAAGAAAAGTGGACAGACTAAAAGATAAATGAAAACATAATGGTGTTGTTTTAACTCTGTAATTTCCTTTTCTGTGTAATTATTGTACCTTTTGACAGTATCATAATGTATATTTTTGGTGTCTATGAATGTGTTTTCAGTGTTGTGGCTGTAGGTTTACAGCCAATCCTATGTAAAGGACTCAAACAGACAATCATACAATCATACTGAATCCGTCAAACAAAAGAGGCCACAAGGATTGATGATATAACAAACACAACACACTTTACTCTGGAGCAATAATCTATTCTGTTGATTATTCTTCAATCTTTCGTTTCTGTTGACTCTTGAAATTATTTTATCAAACTGAATCATCTTCTAGTTCTGTCTTTCATTTCATCTGAATATCATACTTTTAAATGCCACGCTAATGTTTAAAGACCGTTGCTGGCAGTGTGATGTGTATCGTTGAGAACCATGACATGAAGGACGGCAGCAGTGCTTCTGTGACGGACTTCTTGTTCCTCATTCGAGTGGACTCACTGCAGAACAGGGCACATTGTCTTGTGTGGTGAGTTGCACTTCTTTAAAATCTAATTGAGCGTCATTTGATTGTGACAGCACCAGACGTTTATGAGTCAGACTGCTGTCTGGAGGTCATATTTTCAAAGGTGATTGACATACATGTTTTTATCAAGACTACATAGATTATCAAACCTTTTTTTTTTTCTTTCAATTTGGATCACTAACGGTTGTAACTGTCTAAAAGGTAGAGAGTAATGCCAGTAAAGGAATTGTATGTTATGTTGAAAACATTCAAATTTAGATTAATTACAATACACTATACATATTTGACATATCAGATGTTGTTCTGGAGCTAAGGGATAGTCTGGACTTCTCTCCTGCAGCGTAAACGACAGTCCTTTCTCCTGCAAAGTAACGTTAACACATTCCAAAAACAAAATTATTCAATAAGTTACTCATTGTCTTAAACCCTATTGTTGCATGTGTAAATGTGTTTTGGTTTTAAAGATTACTAAGAATTTGTATATTGTTGTTGTGATGCTTTTATGTGTTAAAATAAAAAAATGACTTCAGTAAAAGACATCTTGACAGTAAATGTTTGATGTGGGGGAATCACCAAAGACAAGAAAATGAATCCACCAATGTTAAAAGAAAGGGAAAATTCAGTGATCAGTTATGATCACCTGATAAAGAACGATTTTCCTTTTTGTTTCCTCCCACAAAGCATCAACAGAAATAACAACCAAGAGGAGACGGAAGGAATATAACAGCATTGGTTGCCTCCCCAGTCACGTATTCCCTTGAATACTAAAATGTTGCATGGAGAAGAGTGGTTCCCAGAGGCAGCAGACTTTAAAGGACTAGTGAAATCCCATGTGGTTTGTCATGCTGGAATGCACCGGGAGGGAGGGGGGAAGCAAGAGAAGGGAGGCGAGACAGGCTCCTGAGATAGCTTGATGAAAAACTGAGCGATTGCCGGGTCTTTGGGTTTCACGGGTTGAGAGGTCAAGGGTATTAGTTATGAAGGTAAAGGGGGCAGGGAGATGGAAAGTGAGGACATAGGCCACATTTGGGCGCAGCGAGCTGAGGTGGGGTAGCATCAAAGCTGATGAGAACGAGCAGAGAAGAGGAAATCATTCAGACCGACTTCTCCCCTGACTGAGCACGCTTGCCATCACTTAAAATTGAGCTGACTGACTGGTGTAGGGGCCAGCCAGGAAGACGACTTGATAGTGCTCGTTAGTTGGGTGGTGTTGGCAGGCAAGTTGGTGCGTCTGGAAGCGCCCAATCCCCCTCGTGGTCATCAAGAGGTTGATAACGTGCATTCAGGGTACGCTGGCTCGAACTCCCCTGCCAGTGGATTAAAGTAACCATCAGAGACAGCTCTCTCTAAATACCTCCCCCCCACCTCACTCTGCGCCTTCAGGGAACTGGGATGTTAAGTCCTCAGGCCCGAGTGGTAATGGTTCAGGTTTCCTGCTATCAGACAGGCAGAGACAGAAGGCTAAGAGGACGTAAGCACGACCATTAGCAAGTAAGCGGCCAACGGTGGGAAGTATATAGCACCATCAGCAATTTGAGCTACAGTAAGCTCATCTGTTGGAGGGACGGACCAATGGGACCAGCTTTGCTACGCACATTTCAATCAAGTGAGGCACTTGCAGCCCATGACCCTGTCTCTGGGTCAGGCTTTTCCTCCTTGGACCACTTATTGATAGGTAACTGACCACTGCCAACCGGAACACCCCCACCAAGAGCCCTGCAGTTTTGGAGATTTTTTTGAATTTTTCCTGCTTCTAACACATCAACTTTGAGGACAAAATGTTTACTTGCTGCCTAATATATCCCACCCATGGAGCTAGACCAATGGCGGCACTAGCTTAGTGCAGTTTAGCAAGGACAGAGAAACAGCTAGCCTATCAAAAAAATAACAACCCATCTAAAGATAACTACAACAACCTGCAACCTCATGGTGACAACAAGACATCAGGAAGTCACTACACCCAGTTGCTGATCGCCAAGATATATTACAGCATTTCCTCATAAAGTGGAAATTTTATTGTTTTATTTTTTGGAGACGACCATTCAGACATCTCACAGCAGTAGGGTGTGGGTCTGGGAGCAAAAAAACATCAGTTCCTCACTCTTAAAAAGCATTGCAAGGTACATAAGTTTTACAACTTTGACCTATCATCACTTTGAAAAAAACTGGGTCTTATTACTGTGGCTTTGGCTGTCATTACTGTCTGTTATAATAACACTGTGTTTCACATTTATAAGTTCGACAGGGCAAAGAACATGATTAGACACAAATAATCCCTCATTGCACAGGGAAACTGTGTGCATGAACAACTACGGGACAACGTTAAACTAGTAAGTCTGTGACCTGTGATGGATGTTGGATAATGGGGATTTATTTAATATAACCTGTCTGGTCATTTCCCTGCTCATGTTACTTTACTTTGTTTTAGCAATTTTTCCACATCTGCAGATCTCAAAAATCTCTTAAATTCCTCAAGAATCCATTTTAGACCACTAGGGACATAACACAAACCTAATAAAACACAGCTCACACCTGATGTATCATCAGCTGTGGTGGGCAAAGTCTGAAAATATATACTCATTAAATAAATGACTACTTTCCATTTTTAATATTTTTTAGAATGTGTGACAACTAAAAGCCCAAAAGACGACTAGCTACAAGTCAATGTCATCATAAAATCAAAGATTATAAGTTGTCTTTTAAAAAAATCCCTCGGACACAAGCATCATCCCCTTGGAGTCATTTCAGGGCTAAATTTCCATTTTGATCTCCACCAACTGAAAATAGTAATAACTGGTTCTTTAGCTTGTTACATTTTTTACTTTCTTTTCTAGTCACCGGTTACAGGACTGGTAAAGAAAGCGCTTTAAAACAGGACAGGACAACCTTAGACCAGACTATTGGAATGGACAGGACTGACTAAACCCTAAATTTGAGCAAAGGAAGCAAAATAATAAGCTAAAAGCACATAATAGTAATAAGTGCAGAGTAATAACAGATACTATACTTTTTAGTCATTTACTTGATTAATTTGTTTTTTCATACCACTAAAAGTGCCGATGCTGCTTGCAAGGATGCCTTTAAAGAGAGCTGCAACACTGTGGATGCTTAAATGATTCCCGTAAACACCAACAAACCTTTTGTTGACCCATACTAGTGAGAAATGATGTAATCCTGTTTGAGAAATAACATTTGGCAAATACAATTGTACTACTTTTTAAAATAAATGCTGAAATATTTTTTTTTTGCTGTGAACTCAATTTGAACCCAACAGTATTCACACACACAAATGTGCACATACACATGAAACTGGTGAAGCAAGTAGTTTGTGGAGATAAAATCACTCGATCAACTGGAGAGCAGAAAGCTGAAATGCCATTCAGACAAACTAATCATTAATTAGGTCTGTGTGCCATCAAGTCATTACCATAAATGTGTCACATGACTTTAATCTAAGGCTGTATTGTCCTGTTGACACAACAAAGATATTGAACACCCACAAGCGCTCGATGGTTCCTACATTCCAGCAGGAGACACAAATATCTGGTTTTCCCAGTGGTTCATAATGACCCTCCGAGATCCTGTCAACAACACTAAGAGTGGTTGAATATCAGCTGTCACTCAAATAAACACCAAAATGAATACAGGTCCTGGTGATGCCAGTCATGCCACAGGGTGCCAGGGGTTAGTGGGCCAATCAGATGTGCTTACCCTCTCTGTGTCCTCCACAGAAATGCAGAGTCTCAGTGATAATCCCTTTAGGGATTTTGACTGAGAATGCTCCCTCACTCTACTGGCATACTTCTTGGCACTGAGCAGAGGGAAAATCCACACACCTTCCTGCGAGGAGGCGCTAAGAAAGGGCATACTATTGGAAAAGGACCACTGGGGGAACATTGAACAACAGAAGCAACATGCCCTGTTATTAACAAAATGAATGCATATTACGTTCTAATTTCAAGGTTAAAATCTTAATCTTGACATTTAAAAAAAAAAGACCTTCAATGCATTTTTTCTGTAATAAATCCCAATTCTTTTCCACCTCCAACAGTATATTTACATATTTTCGCGGTGCACATACTTACATACCCTTACACAACACGTATAACACTTTCCCACACTGAGGCACACGCAGAGGACAGAGAATGAGACCGAGAGAGAACAACACGTAGAGCCTCCCTCCTTCCCTCCCATCCCCTCCTCCCTACCTTGTCTTTCATTATTTATTTACTGTCTGCAGTTTTTCCATCGCACGCATATTGATGCAGAGAAAGCAGGGTGTGAGTGCGTGTCAGAATCATTTCCTGACGAGGGAGACAAGGTGGAAGTAATCAGCAGAGCGCTGATGCAATATGACAGCCCCTAGAACCGCTGGTACACAGTTAAGAGCAGGAGGGAGAAGAAAAACATCTCTCCACTGAAGGAAGTGGCACAAGATTTGCACAAGCGACATTTGGGTGAAAAGTAGATTTACAAAGTTCTAAA